GCTTTCTTCTCATTCAGCACTGTGGCGGTGGGTACTTGCAGCTGTTGTAGACTCTTCTGTGCATCCGGGGCATTCAAGTCATTGATGGGCATGGTGCAGAAGCCATAGTGACGTGCGGCAGCGGGATGGTGTGGTGTATAGGTGTTCGAGAAGGTCGAATGTATGCCCAGACTGCAGGGATGATGCTGATGGCGCGTGATATAGTCCTCATCGCAGAAGGTCTTCTGATACTCGCGTTCCTTGCGCCCTAAAGCAGAGTTTCCCCACACGCCGCTGCTGATGTACTCGCGTATCTTGCGGCGACAGCGATAGAGTATCAATGCCAGCGCGGTTAAAGTCGCCGCCGAGCCAACGAGCAGCGCGCCTATCAAGGCCTGCTTGCGGGGATCGGTGTGCGTGCAGCCCATTAGTGTTGGGTTTAGATTGCGTAAGGCCTCACCATGCAGGCGGTCGGGAAAAGCGCAGTAGACTTCTGAGATTGCATCATTTGTGCCATTCTTTTCCACCAACAAGTTGCGTAGCCACATCACGCGGCAGTCACAGGAGATGGGATTCTCCGACAAATCGAGTGTCATAAGATCGCGCCATGGGAAGAGGCCTTCCGCTAGTGAGGTGAGCGCATTAGCTTTCAGTATAACGTGACGCATGTTGGGCAGTCCGCTGAGTGCGCCCTCTTGCACTTCGTGTAACATTTTGTTCGACGACAGATTGAGGTACTCCAAGTTGCCGTTTGTCGAGAATGCACCATTCATGACACGTTTTAGCCGCAGTGCGCCACTGATGTCCAAACGCTTCAGCTGCTTGAGACCAACAAAAGCACCCTCCACAATCACTTCAAAGTCATTCTGTCCCAACGATAACTCTTCTAAACGCACCATGTTGCTGAGACTAAAAGTAGGCACACGTGTCAGCCTATTGTCGGAGAGATCCAGCTGCCGCAGCTCTTCCAAGCCCTTGAACGAATCATGCGAGATATTGCGTAGTCCAGCGCCGCGCAGATCGAGGCGCGTCAGTGCGGGCACATCTTGGAAGGCAGCAGACGGCACTGTCAGCAAGGTGTTCATGCCTAAAAAGAGTTCGGCCAAGCTAGGCATAGCCTGAAAAACTACTGGATCTGGCACCGAGGTCAACGCGTTATCGTCCAAGTACAAAATACGCAGCTGTGACAAACCGTCAAACGCTTTGGGATCCACAAAGCCGATGCGGTTCTTTCCCAAATTCAGCTCTTCAATTTTAAGCAGCGGTGTAAAGGTGCCCAAATGTAGCTCGGAAATTAAATTGCCGCGTAAATTCATTACCGTTACCGCCGATAGGCCAATGAAAGTCTTATTGCTGATCGCACCGATCTTATTGTCATTCAAATGCACCTCCTGCAGTTTCCTCTGGTAGGCAAAGGTGCGCTGCGGTATGGTCATCAGGTGATTCGAAGACAAATCGAGGAACGTCAGCTCGGCGTAGAATTGTATTGATGAATCGATGGTCTTGATTTTGTTGTTACGTATCACCAGACGTTGTATGGACGGATTGAGTGCGATGGGCAGCACATCCAATTGGCCTTCGCCGCACTGTACAACGAGTGTATTGTCATCGCACTGGCAGCCAGGCGGACAGTTAGCTAAGCCGCGGGTGGAGGCGATGAACAGCAAGAAGTAAAGTAATGAAATGAAGAAAATATTTTCGAAACGCGACATTTTTGGGCGTGTGTGTGTGACTTTTGTTGTTGTTTTTTTGTTGATTTACAGTCGCTACGACTGTTGTGGTTTTTCGTTGTCGTTGCGATGCGTTCCAATGCGCTGTCGAATAATTCGTTGTGTTTAGCGTGTGTAATGGGTTGGTTTTATAAGCGTTCCATTGCTGCGAAGGAAAAGAAGAGACGCAGAAAAAAAAGAATGGGTTAAGTAATGCATTGAAGTGGAGGAAATTAATTCAATGTGAAATGTATGGAAATGTGCGAGATACATAAGTAATGAATGGAAGTAATAAAATAAGAAAATTTAGAGGCAAGAAAAATTGAACGCACGGTTTGGTTATATTTGGAGTGCGCTATGCATTTTTTTAGTGCCTAGATGTCAAAACTAATTAAATATTTAAAATTTTCTGTATGTGGTTTGCTCTAGTTTTGCTTTTGTTATGCTGATGGCAACAGAGATAAAGCGAACCTGTTTTTAAAAACTGGAAATTCAAATATTGTTTTAAATAAATTATATTAACTTTTTTCTTGAATTTTAAGAAATTAGTTTTCTGTAGTTTTCCAATGTAAAATGTTATAATTTAACTAAATTTCAAATTTTTTTACTTCGTAAATTTTTTGAAAGTGGTTAATATTTATATATTTTGTTTAAATATATACATACACATATGCATACGTACATGTACACTTTCTCAATCTTGTTGCTTTTATTCTAAAAATTTTATTACTACTGAAATTTAAATTGAAAATAACAATTTTTCGCAAAACAATATTTATATTTAGCTTTTAAGAAATTCTAATATAACTTCAACTACATATATAGGCTGGTAGGTCCTGTAAGGGTCGGAAGTTAAATTTTTAAATAATTTACGAAAAGAAAATTTTTTTTGAATTGTAATTCTTACGTTGTAGAGGAGTTAAATATGTAAACACATACCGATTTCGGGATGAATATCAAAGAAATATATGAGCAATTTTCATATCTATCAAAAAGCCACTAATATTTTTATCACACGCATATATTTATGTGACATATTAACGTGTAAAAAAAAAACAAGCATCGAAAATTTCCATTTTCAAATAAGAAATTTTGATTTTATCAACAGCTATTCATTAGCACACATAGTTTGTCGCTTACAGGTTCATACAAATTTTAAGCGCAGATACGTATGTTTGTGTGCGTGTAAAAAACGCGCCTAGCATTACCTTTTGAAAAGGGCTTACATTTTTCAATTTTTTTTTTTTAGAATAGAATTTTCAAAATAAATCAATAAAAACCCAATAAAAATTGGCCTTTAGTGATAAATTTGACCTTTTGCAGATGATATTTTACCATAGTGCTTTTCTTTGTTTTGACGCTTAGTTGTTGTGCTGAAACGCTTTTACAATTGAGAAAAAAAAACAATTTCAATTTTCTGTTTATTTCAAAATTTGGACTTCTTCCCTACTATTTCATGTAATTTCTTTCGAATTTTATTTATTTTTTTTAATCTAAAATTATTTCAAAGCGCTTTTTAAAATGTACTAAAATGGTTTTGTTTCTTAAAATTAAAAAAAAAATATATATACATGAGTTTCGTTTTTTTATTATCTACTTTTCAAGAATTCTAATTATACTTTTTTCAAATAATTAAAAAATTTTTTATGAGCTTGATTTTTATTTAACTATGAAAAAAAATTCCCAAATTATTTTCAAATACTACAAACAAATTGTAGAATTCGTAAATTCTTTTTTTTCGAAAAAATGTTTGCCTATTCTAGTTTTTTTTTTATAAAAATTTATATACAAGGAATTTAAAATTATGTATTTAGATTTATTTTTCTTTTGAAAAAATAATAAGATGTACACATGCATATCAAGGGATTATGGTACAACTTATATCCAATATCATACAACCTATCTGCAATTTTCACAAAAATCAACTTCTGATATAGAAATCCACCGCTTAACTGTGATCGATGATGTTAATGCGCACCTTGTATATCGATTTTTAAAAGAATTTACTATTGGATTGCTAAGCAAGCATTAGCAGCAGTGATGCCAGCCAACTAAGTGCAAATGGGTTCTGTCATCAGATACTAGTTTTTGTGAAAATTCTAGATAGGTTGCATTGCATCATACATATGTATGTACATTAGCATGGGCCGAAAATCCGCATTTTTAGAAGTTTGATTGGTAATAGCAAAAATATGGTCCAGTATGCTCTAAAAACAATCTGTGTAAAAGATGACAATTATTGATCAATATCTTAGGCTTTTTTGCTATTACCAATCAAAATTCTATAAAAAACGGATTTTCGGCTCTCGCTAATGCACATTACTACATAATACATATTCCTTTTCTTAATTTTTAGGATCTCAGCATCAGTGAAATTCACAAACAGGAATTTATTTAAAATCTACACTTTAAAAATACGGATATAAATTTTTCTACACATCTCAGCAAAGGTTAAACTCCTTATGTTAATACTTATCAAAAATTAAAAAAAATTTGAAATAAAAAAAAACATTACTTAAAAAAATATATATAAAAAAATGAAATTGTTAAACATATTTACATAATTAAAATCACAAATTTTGAATGAAAATATTTACATTTTATTTTATTTTATAAAATCTATACTATTTGTATTTAACCACTAACTGAAATTTACTGAACCAATAAATTTTTAACAAAATATTTTCAAAACTAAAATATTTGACACATTTTTTTCTAATTTGGGGCATACTTCTCTTTTCATTTTACAAAACAATGTGTATATTTTAATGAAATAATTAGTTAATTTATTTTTAGTCTAAAACTTGCTGATAATCGTATACATCATTATTAACTCATTTTTTTAACGAAACGGAAAAACATTTTTTGCCGCCATACTTATTTACATACAAAATTAGCGCTGAAAGTCAAATTAATGAAGTTTACTTTTAATTTTAAAATGTCGAGGTTAGAAAAAAAGAATAATAACCGAGTTAAAAACTCCAAAAAGTAACTCTATTAAGTGTTAAATTTTTTTCAATTCGAAATTCGAAAAAAAAAATTTAATTAATATTTTTGAGCAAAAATTTTGTTTAAAAAATATTTTATGTCGAACATTTTAATGCTTGTATAAAAAATCTGCATATGGGTAGAAGCAGAGCCTTTTGGCGCAAATATTTAGTTACTTTGCAAATTTTTCATAATACCAGTTTTTTGGCAAAAAAAAATACGCCAATTTTAGTAGATAGTTTGAAATAATTTTTCAAAAAGTATTTTCTTTTACTTTTCACAGAAACTACTTATTATGAAAGTTTTACATTTGGCTATAATTAATCGCACATTTCCTTAAAAATAAAATAGGAATTTTAAATAAGCGCCACCAACCTTTTCCAACTGTTCAGCAGTATCACCACGTGCACATTAAATATCAATAAGCATGCAATTCGTCGATTACGGCAAACTTTTCCCACGGCAGCAGGCAAGCGAAATTCAATCGTTGGTCACTAATTACAATACAATTCGATTGTTTAATAACTTTTTGATTAGTAATTTTTAATGGCTTTCGGCATAAAACGTCTAATAACGCATTTCCATTGACAGCTCGTACAGTTAAATAGTTGCTTGTATTTAATACTTCACACGCACATACATATATTTGTTTGTTGTTGCTCAGTTTTCATATAAAATCACGAAATTCATTTAATTTTTCATAAAACTGCTTTAAGATTTTCATAAAATAAGCACTGCTTAATTTCTGTTTCTTCGTTTTTTAATTTTCGTACATTTTATTTTATTTTTTCAAAATCTCCAGCTGCATCACCGTGAGCGATAATCCAAGTGTTCGCTTTAATCACGGCTTTTGCGCCACCAATTTTTTTTTTTCAAAAAATCCACACAGTCTTCATTTACATTTGACACTTTGGAGCTAATTAGCTTTTCACCTTGCACGCCGCTCTTCATTTATGCTCGTATAGATGACGGCTTTTAAATTTTTTTGTTTTTTTTTTCTAAGTTTCGAAAATGTTCACTGGTGTATTGGTATACTATTTCGATTATCCAAAAGTATACAACCGCACACGGCCAAGCAACGAACTATACTAAATCTTCAACGAACTTGACGCGCTAACAACACCTCGGTACGCTTTAGTGGCCCATAGAGAAGCGGCCAAGCGTAAATAATTCTGCTACCTAAAACCAGCAAACAGTCAACTGACTAAACAACAGCGTACAGCCAGAGTCAGAGTCAGAGACAGAAAGAAGCAGCAGCAACCACCCTAATTGGAGTGTATTTGTGCAGCAACTCAGCTCACTCTGCACTGGTAAACGAAGCAGTCGTCTGCGTTTGGTGGAATACTCGTATTCACGTGAGTTCTCGTAGCTAGGAAAACCAGTTTGCCTGAGCAAAAAGAAAAAAAGCAGGAGCGCCTTGAAAAATGCAATTTTCTGTTGAGCACGCTGAGCGCTCGAGTTAAGGTTAGGTAGCCAAAATGAGCGCGAATGAGCAGCAAGCAATCAAAAAGGCGGCAGCTGCATTTTTCCTCTCAACAGAGCTCATAAATTAGCCTCTGCAAGTTTGTGGTTGACTCCACAATTGTGGCTACACCCCAACTTAGCGTGGCAGCGCTCGTTTGGAGCAGCCAGCAGTAAGAATTCTTTACGCTCCAGGTATTCGTAGAGTAACGTTGCTACGAGTTGAGATTCTCAAGTTGAGAGCAAGCGCTGTTGCTCCCAGTTGAGAAGATACAGTTGCTCAAGTACTGCATGCCTGTAGAGGTCGCTGCGTTCATTAAGTATGTTGGAAACGCACATGCTTTTTCGGCTCTCTAAAAGAGGCAGACAGGAAATGCATTTCCTGTGCCGCTCACTCTTTCTTTCGCTCATTCAGTCAAAAGTCACTCAGTCACTCAGTCACTTGTGTGTTTTTTTTTAATTGGCTTTTTCTGAGCTGACCTTAAGAATACTTGCATCTAAAATGCAGCTGCTTGCAGCAAGGGCATCATGGTGTGGCATTCGAAGGTAGTTTTACGTGCAGGCAATTCAATTGGTGTTGCAACATCGCAGCTGTAAGGTGGTAAGCAGTATTTTTACTGCAACTTTGCGTCAAGTGGATAGAATTCGTGAAATTCGGCATATGTATTGTAGTTAAAGCACTTATGTTAACATAAAAAATTTCATTGCTGCTGCTACTCGCAAAAACAGCAAAATTGTATGCTTAGTTAGATTAGCTTGTATGCTTAGTTAGCAAGTCACCTCGTCATTGTGACGAGAGTTTATCTTTATGAATATTAAAAACCTTCGATTCGATTAAACACCTCCCCTGACCTACGTATTATTGAAGAGACTCGCGAGTTTTCTTCGCGTTGTTCATTCAGCTTATGTTTGCCTAGATAAATTGATCCTAAGAAGCGAAATCTAGGAGTGATGAAAGCATCAAAGAGCTGTCAGGGTTCAAAATACTACCATTATTCCGAGGTTTAGGTGGTTCGCACTTCTCATAGGGTCAGCGTGGAAAGAAAACGTTGATATTTTGCCTAAAATTGAAATCCAGAAGCCATCTATTCGGTAACGTACAAGTACTTAGTCCTTTCTACAGACAGGGCCGGATTTATGCACAGGCAACATGAAGAATTAAAAAAATTATATCAAGAAAGAAAAAAGTGAAACAAGTAAGCAAGGTCGTTTCGTGGAGTCAGCGGCTGGTACACGGAGCACGCGTGCCACCGGCACAGCCATAGATAGGGCTTACGTTGATAACACTCACTCCCGCGGCCGCAGTTTCAACAGCCTTGATCTAAGTCATTGTGATTACAAATTTGAAGGGTTACTTTGGTTAACTTTGTAACTTGTACTTTCTATGAGTATAAACGCCTGCCCACATAAAGCTTTCCCGTCGACTTGTGCTCGCCTCGCTCGTCAAAATAGTGAATTTGTCAACATTCAACATTTCAATAAAAAACGTAGTTTAATTTTTTTCCAATTGTAAAAATAAATAATTTATAAAAAGTATAAATAAAGAAAATATTAAAAATGGTGGCTGTGGTGCAAGCGCACCTAAAGTTTTGTAGCGGTACATGGCGCAATAAGTAAATGGATTATTAAAACAGCTTTCTCGCATTATGTTCTGTCATTCGACTATCGTATGCAAAATTTTAAAGGCAAATTTTCAAATAAGATATTGTCAAATCAGTATAAAGTTTTTCGTAAGGCAATTGTCAACTATCTTGAAAGCTCGTTACTGTCTTTTGAAAGACTTTTTGAAAGATCTGACAGCGAGAAGCTCATCCAAAGATGGCACACACTCAAGTTCCCTTTAACTAACGGGTGATTTTTTTGAGGTTAGGATTTTCATGCATTAGTATTTGACAGATCACGTGGGATTTCAGACATGGTGTCAAAGAGAAAGATGCTCAGTATGCTTTGACATTTCATCATGAATAGACTTACTAACGAGCAACGCTTGCAAATCATTGAATTTTATTACCAAAATCAGTGTTCGGTTCGAAATGTGTTGAATGTGTGAAAAGTTGGCAGAAAATCCGCTTTTTTATCGACAAATTTTGTTCAGCGATGAGGCTCATTTCTGGTTGAATGGCTTCGTAAATAAGCAAAATCATGCGATTTGACGCCTTTAGACTATTTTTTGTGGGGCTACGTCAAGTCTAAAGTCTACAGAAATAAGCCAGCAACTATTCCAGCTTTGGAAGACAACATTTCCGAAGAAATTCGGGCTATTCCGGCCGAAATGCTCGAAAAAGTTGCCCAAAATTGGACTTTCCGAATGGACCACCTAAGACGCAGCCGCGGTCAACATTTAAATGAAATTATCTTCAAAAAGTAAATGTCATGGACCAATCTAACGTTTCAAATAAAGAACCGATGAGATTTTGCAAATTTTATGCGTTTTTTTTAAAAAAAAAAGGTATCAAGCTCTTAAAAAATCACCCGTTACATACTCAGAAGTCAATGCCAAGTGCTTTAAGTCTGTTTTCGTATGCCATACTACATACATATGTATGAACAAATACATACATATAAGCTAACAAACACTTATGCCGTTTAAAATCAGCAACAACCAATATGAATACCCGCCAACCGCATGCCCTGCCATCACCTTCCCCACCTTCACACATGGCGCTATCAACGCCTACACTACATATGCCACATCAGCCACAGCATCATTATGCGCGACGCTCGTTTAAATGAGTTAATTGAAAGGATACGAACGGCGAAGCGGCAAAATGGCACTGACACGCTACTGTCGATCTAAAATCGCGCATGTGTGTGTACAAATATATGTACGTAAATTTCTTTCACCCATAACGCACGCTCACTTCCTGTCGATGCCTGGCTGCAGATACCTATGTATGTGAATTCGCGTAATTAGACGCGCGCCACAGCAGTCACCTACTACCAGCCCAGCAGCATCCACAGCCATCAACACAGTTCACTGGAAACACCACAGCGCGACCGCCTCCCTCCCCGCGTTATTGCCACCATTCAATGTAATATTTTTTTCTCTGCTTTCCATTGAAGTGTGCTGATTATTTTTATAAGTAGCCGCGCGTTGCTGGCGCTGATGGCGTTGGCGGATTAAGCACCTCTTATCAGCATAGCCGTTAATGAGTTGAGTATCATTATGGTGCATATGTAAAGGATTTTGTTCGCGCATTAAGCAGTACGCGGCAGTGTTATATACCCACATGCGCACACAAATTGACAAATATCGGTGTTGAGCAAGGCGTCGTGGCACAAACGCACTTAAGTGCTAATAAATACAAATGTATGTACATAACTACATATGCGCTTAAGTATGTATGCATTCATGCTTTAGAAGTATCCACACAAGTACGAGTACTTCAAGTAGCAGGAACTGCGGCAAGAGCATGAGCACCAGCACCGACGACACAAACAACAATTGCCTGCTTGCCACTTGCGCGCAACAAATGTATTTTAATGCATGCAACGCCCGCTTTACTTTTAGTTAAATTGTAATTTTTTTTTTTTTTTTTTTTCTAGTCGATTTTTCTGTGGTATTTTTTCTTCATTTCGCATACTGTAAGCGCTCACTATGTGACATGTTTATGCTGCTATTACCCCAAAAATTACAACCTTTTTTTAATTTTTTGTTGTAGGATACCACATGGGCGTCTTCGCCTACATTCAGATTGTCATCACTGTCTCAAGCGTTTGGGTGCATCTTTGAAAAATATCATCTTCCTTTGGCCTTTCGGCTGTGTCCTTTCAATTTTGACGCACGATTTTGTGTTGCAGTATGTATTACAATGTTTTTCTTTTTTTAATAATGTTGTGAATTGCATTTTATGTTGAAGTGCCTTTACTCAAAAGTGTCAAGTGCATAATAATCACTTACTTTAGGGCACTCGAAGATTTTTAATAGCTTTGTTGTTTTTTTGGGGCGAAAATGTGAATTGCATCGATTTTAGTGGTTTGTGATATTTTTTTTTCAACAATGTGCCAAGTATCTTTTAGAAGCAGTTTAACCACTCATGCAATCGAGAGTTTGTGTCTTGGCACCACAGTCATGGATATACATACATACGTACACTAAGGGGGTAAAAAAAAAAAGTAAATTCGGAATTTTATTGCTCTCACCCCCTAGGAATGTTCTATACCGAAAAAATATACCCCTGTTTTTTAATTTTGAAATCGAAAAATATTTGAAGGTCGCTCAAGGCGCTCAAAGTGGCCCATGTATTTTATATGGTAAAAACAAGTTTTCGCAAAAATGGTATAGAATTCTTGAAAATCGATATTTTTCTCTTGAGGAGACTTCCAAAACTAGTACCCAATTATTTATTTAACAATTTTTAATAGTAACTATATTTTATAGGTGCCACAAAACCCTAAAAAAATGCAGTTGTGGACCCATAAAAAATGTTTAGTATTAAAAATGGTAAGATAAACAATTGGGTATCTCTTTTTGAGAAACAGAGTTTTCCTATGGAAAGATGTATATTTTCAAGAATTCTGAAGCATTTGTACGAAAATTGTTTTTTTTTCGCTTGCTTTGAGTGCTTTCAGCGATCTCAAAATCATTTTAAAATAAAAAAGAGAAGAATATTTTTGCGATATACTTAAAAAAATCCTAGGGCATGAGAGCATTAGAATTCGGACATTACTTTTTGGCATGCAGTTTCGGACCACCCTAATGTACATACACATGTCC